TTTGATTTCATTATAAATGTGAAAGTCAGAGGTATCTTGTTACTGACAATTTTTAATTCCCGTTTACTATTGCGGAAAAAAGTTACTATTGCGGTATATAACACGGCAGGGTATTCCTTAAGCAGATGCTAAGGTCTTTATTAGATATGCTTCTTCTTCTTGAAATCGACAATGATGGGAAGGATACTCAAGGGTCCTTCCTTTTATCTAATTAATTTACTTAGTGTAATTATTAATTTTTTAATCTAGTTTACATTGTTCACTTCGGCCTAGCGACAAGCTATCATAGAGATTGCAATTGAGATTGCGTTCTATTACTTACTACAAGAAAATAAAAAATTTACGTTACAAACATTTTACAAAACCTTAAAAATTTTAATTATAAAGTTTGGTTGGTGATAGAAAACAGAATTCCCTACATTAACTTAACATCGACGAATATATATCTCTCTGGTTAAACGCTACCAACGCTACGCTAGGATCGTTCATGGAGTTTGCTAACGCTATCGTGCTATTGGCTCTAAAAACAGCGTTGGTAGTATTTGCATCCGCATAGCGCGAATAGTGTTTTATAAGATTTCACCGCCATCAGTTGTCATCAACTGGCGATTACGGATCTATTTGATGACTACACAGTTATAACTGATTGCTGATGAAATCTTCTGTTACGATGTATGTATGGAAATTGAAGAAGGACAGAATGCATGGCAGTTTATAAACACTGAGGTAAACGTTGCATACGTATAAGAAGCCCGTAAGTTACAATATTTTGATTAACATATAAAAACGTTTGTATTTTAGTTTTTGAGCTTTAAGATTTTTTTCCTTATTGTTAATATATGCTATTATTAGATATGTGTTTAGCAATAAACTGAAAAATAAAGTTATATAATCATTTAATTATACAACACAATTACAAAATATATACACATAATCATATAACAATATAAAGTTTAATAAAATATATAATAAACATATATTTTCAATCGATATTAGATCTTATTTAAAAAAATTATTTTTTAGGCAATCATGACCGTAATAAAATATATCTTGCTCTTAACAGAGATTTTATTGCTTATACTGAAATTTTTATATTATATTTTCCACGATATATACACATTAATAAGACCAATAAAGAAAAAGAGCGTAGCTAATGAAATCGTTTTGGTGCGTATAAAAATTTTAATATATACACAGTTTATAAAAAAAAATATGTATATTCTATGTGATTTACCTAAGCTTTGTAATTTTTTTCTAATTCTTTCTGAAATTTTTTCCATAATTGAATTTCAACAAATTAATATTTTCTTTAACAAATGTTTTCACATTTATCTTATCTATCTTTTTTCATTACTATAAATAATAAATATTATTTCAAAAAATGTCATGTAAACATAGATAGAAAGATTTGTATTCTAGACTTTAAACTGAGACACTCTATTTAATACATTTGTTTTCATTTACATTTGTTTAATAAAATACGTATTTTATTAAACAAAAGTTCATTATTTCATTTTAAAGCAAGATGAAAATTTGAAATTATGCTATTTTAAACGAAAAGTTAATATGTCATAATTATAATTTAAATTGTATTTATATATTATCATAGATAACGGGCGCAGGTCATGGTATCGGAAAGGAATTAGCGATTGGTTATGCTTCGTTAGGAGCAACAGTAGTATGTTGGGATAT